CCTGAGGAAGAAAAACGTAAGGGAGCCTCAGCCAGCTCAGTAAGAAGCAAAGTGATCAGACTTATCCCAGACAGGACCGACAGTCCACATTGGGGGCTTATTTCTATTACTTGGCTGGGAGGAAGGGAAAGCTGCTGCTTCTTCTTTTTTTAATCTTCATGGAGGATATGTTTTTTAAATTGGTTTTAGAAAGAGAAAGGGAAAGAGAGAGAACAAGAGAAACCAATGTGAGAAACATCGATCAGCTGCCTCTTGTAAGCGTCCCAACCAGGGATAGAACCCACAACCTAGGTGTGTGCCCCGACCAGGAATCGAACCCACAGCCTTTTGGTGCATGGGACAACACTCCAACCAAGTGAGCCACCTGGCCAGGGCAGGGCAAAGCTTCTTCATGATCACATCATTCTGCAAAGGACTAGAAGAAAAAGAGTACTGATTCCCAGAGAACACACAGATCCCCCCCATTGTGTTAATCATCTGTCCCTGAGCAGGGTGGGGAGGGCAGGGGAAACATCTGGACAAGGCAAGAGAAGTCATAACACCAGGAGGCAGCAATAATAAGGCACTGGGCAGCCCCCAGCACAGGAAAGGGGCAGCCCTCCAGGTCACTTGGGATGGGACCTCTGCTAAGTGGTGCCTGTCCCTGGCTGCCCACAGGAGGGGAGAACAGGGCAGAGATGGGTCCCACCCAGTGCCAGATGCAGGGGAAGGGGAAGCTGCTGTGCCAGCCTGCAGGAGCTGCCCAGTCTGATAGGGGACTCACTTCCTACCCCTCCCCACACTCCCAGACACTGCTGCTCAAAGCAACCCCACATAAAAACTGCCCCATAACTAAGGGAGATGGAGCCTCCTGTGTCCTAATGACTGGCTTCTAAGTACAGCCACACCCTTCCCTGGCAGCCAAAGCCGACTTCCCAGGCCATCCCACAGGCCTCCAGCTCCAGGTCTGGGGCTGGAACAGGAGCCAAGGAAGCCAAGGACGCTTGTGGCTTCAGCTGCTTCCTGAGGAGCAGTCACATCTGGAGAGAAGGCCGTGGGGTCATGTGCCATCTGCCCCCAACAGTACTCTGCCTGGCATCTGGAGCTAAGGGATAGGTGGATGCCCTCAAAGACCACCCAATCCTAGGACAACAGGCTGCATTTTCCTTAGGGTGCCTCTCCCGGTGCCCCTAAAGCCACCCTCAGGAGATCTCAGGCCAGAAGGCTCTGGTCTCAAACCTACGTCCTCCTCGGCCACAGTCTGAAAACCAATGCCTCTGTCTGACCAGAGCTGACAGAGCCTCTTAGGGGCCACAGTCAGCAGCTTGTACATGGTCACAACAGCTTTACTCTTAGGAATGAAAAAAGAAAAACTGGCCCCAACCCAAGTGAGCCCACCGCCTCAACTTTCCTAAGGAGCCAGGCCCTAACCACCAGGCTCCAATTTTATCAGGAGCTCTCACACTTCTGCATGAACCCTGCCATCCACAGTCTTTCCTAGGTTCTAAGTCCTATATTGTCTAACCACTGATCCAACAAGCCCAGGACAAGGGTGCTTTATTTTAATTTTTTTTTTAAAGAGAGGAAGGGAGAGAAAGAAAGAGAGAAAGAGAAACATTGATTGGTTGCCTCCCACATGCACCCCAACCAGAGATCAAACCCACAACCAGGATATGTGCCCTGACAGGGAATTAAACCCGCCACAATTTGGTGTATGGGAGGACACTCCAACCGAGCCACACAGGCAGGGGTTCTTTAAGGCAGGACCACACAGAGCACCCACGGGAGTGCACTAAGCAGGGTGCTGAAGGCAAAAGCCAGAAAGGAAACAATTGGGAAGCATCTCAGGATTTTTAGAGCCATGACTCACGTGTGGCTTTACTAAGGGGAAAGGGTTATAACCAATCTCCTTGTGTATTATGTTAAATTTTGTTTTGAGAATTTAATTATTTGGAAAGTCTCCAGTGAAATCCCTCACCTCAAAGAGTATCCCACTGACAAAGGATCTTTGGGGGCTGATGAGGTGTCTAGCACTCCATCCACCACCATCTTCACCATCACCACACAAAGTAGGGCCCAGAGAGTAACCCCAACACTAATATTTTGAAAGCTTGCTATGGTTCTGGAACTACATGAAGGCTTTTATAGATGCTATCTCATTTCTATCATGGCCTTTGTAGAAATGAGGAAACAGGTTAAGTAACTTGCCAGCTAGGAAGTCATGGAACTGGGAGTGAAAGCCCCATCTCCAAGTTCTTAAACCCTGTGCTGTCCTGCCTTTCCGAAAGGTTACAGGCAGCTCCCAGGAAGGCTGCTGGGAAGAGAGCTGCAGGCTAAGCCAAGCCTGGCTTCAAGACTGCAGGCCCCTAAGCCAGCCCTAGTTCTCCAACCTCTAGCAGTAAGGAGAATGGTGGAGGGCTGTGAAGGGCCACCCAGTTATATCAGGAGCTCTCACACTTCTGCATGTACCCTGCCATCCAGTCTCCCCTAGGCTCTACGTCCTAAATTGTCTTCCCCATCACTTGAGAGGCTCTTCCAGGGCAGGGGATGTCTCTCAGATCAAAGCCGTCAGACATTGTGCACCAACCATGTCCAGAAACTACACCAGATATTTTAATTGCATCCTCATTTCACCCCTTACATCAACCCTGTGAAAGTGCTAATTAGCCCCATTTTACAGATGAGAAAACTAAGGCACCAAGAGTTTACTTGACTGGCCAGAAGCTAGCAGGTTTGGGACTGGAATCTGGGCTGTGCCATTCCACAGGCCCCTCCTCTTAACCGTGAGGCTGCCCTTCCCCAGCCTGGTCCTGTCTTGGCAACACAGGGCTACCATCTGCCCTCCTTGAGACCACCACACCTGGTTCCTGAAGTTAAAGTGTGATACTGTTCTTTTCCAAAACTGAGGAGGGTAAACCCCGGTCCTCTCCATCTTGTCCTCTGCCCAATGGGCAATGTGCAGACTCACTGTCTTAGCAGCTCCAGGAAAGGCCACCAGGAATGACCATTAGAGCCAGAGGAGGGAGGTGGGGACCAGAGTGGGGGCAGCAGTCCTCACCCTCTGTTGGTGGGCATGGTGTGAGGTCCAGTGGACTAGGAGATTAGGCCAGTTTCACAGGCTTTTCCTCTGTCCACCACAAGTATCCCTCTCCCCCTGCCCCCTCCAGGTTCTATAAATAATCCAGGTCAATACATCTGAGGAAAGGCAGCGGGTTGGGTGCGGAAAGATCCTGGTGCAAAGAGGACTTCTACAAAGTCAATTAAGGCTCCCATTCTGATCAAGGGGTAGCAAGTCAAATTCTCCAAGGGGAACTGTCCTTGGCTGAAAACAGGCCCACCTGGGCCTAAGGCATAAACAGCTCAGCTGAGTCAGACCCACAGCCCAAGAAGAAAGCAAGGGCAGGAGCTGGGGGAGGAGGGGGGTATCAAAGGCCCCTCCCAAGTCACTGACCTCACAGAAGCCCCTCCCTACAAGCCTAGAGACTGGTGTGTGTCCCCCGGATGTGTCATCTACCAGCCTGGTCAGATTAGCTGCGAGGTGGAGGTCGAAGGACTAAGAAAAAAAGGGGAGGAAAGAATTTGGGGACAGGAGCCTCTCCAGAAAAAAGGAAGGGCTAAGAGATCCAGGGTAGAGTTTTCAGCCCCACACCCACCCCCTTAGGCTTCCTAGGCCAGGAAGGAGGGAGAGGACAGAAAAAGTGAGGAAAAAAGAAAACAAAACAAGGGCCAAGCTATACCACATGATCCCACACCCGGCAACCAAACAGCAAGTCATGCGGGAAGGAGAGGAGAAGGCCAGGGGAGGGGGACATGGAGCCAGGTCAGACCTGCGGGGAACCTGCCCTGTGCTTCCCACCCAGGCCACTAAGAGCCATGAAGACCCTTCCCTACCCACACTTTGAAAAATGTTCAAGGTCAGATCCTTTTCTAGCCAACTCCTGCTTTCCTCTGGGTCTGCACCAGGCTCATCAGTCTCCTCCAGCAAGCCTTCCTACATTTACGCCGATGGATGCCATTCCCATCAGGCAAACCTTCCCAGCACCTGTCCCCACCTAGGCACACCCCTGCCCTCATGCCCTTACCCTCCCCACCCGGGACCCAGGAGGCCCGGGGGAGGTGTCGCCCCAGTGGATGAGTGATCCACAGCAGGTCGCCAGCCCTGGGGACTGGCCTCCAGACACTGCCCACGCCCAAAATAGGAAATGAGGCTCCCAGTCTGAAGCCTTGATCTTCACACAGGGAAGGTTAAACGCTGCCAAAATAAATGATGACAAAAAAAAACCACTGGCCCCTCTAGGTGGAAGTGACTGGGAGATGACCCCCAGCAGTGCATGCGCCACTGCTGTTTCCACCTCAGGCAGGACCGGCAGGAGCCTGAAGACTGATTAAAGCGTTTCCTCGCTTTACGTAGAGGAACTCTTGCGTTCAGGCCAGGGACTCAGAGGGACAGGGTCCGGGGGTGTGTCTAGGTGGCAGAGGACACATCCCAGTTCCAGACAAGAAGCAGATGCCCTCGCAGTTTCTAGGTCGGGGGGGGGGGGGGGCACCTCGAGGACAGCACTGCCCCTTCCTTCCCCCACAGGGTGAGGCGGCACCTCTCCATTCCCCTGAGGGCCTGGCTTGGGTCAGGTGCCTGCAGTTCTCCTCCCCTTCCAGGAAAGGGAGACCAGCCCGGAGGCCCTATGGCCTCGAGATTTTCCTTCTTGAGGTTCCCACAGTCCAAGAGCCTCTGGACCCCACTCCTAAGGTTCCTGGACAATTTACATCTAACGCTAGGCCGCGGTTCACACCTCCCGGGGCCTCCCAGGGCCCACCAGCGGCCAAGCACAGCGCACCGTTTAGGAACGGGTAGGGGGGACCCCGAAATGCTTAGAACCAACGGGTCGGTTTACGCCCTTGAGCCCTTGAGCGCGAGGCGGAGGGCGCACCACCCCGGCCGGGCGCGGTGCGGGGTCCCGCTCTCCCACCCGCCCCGCCCGGGGAGGCCTCTCACCGTGTGCGCCCCCGCGCCCCGCACTCACTGTGTGTGCTGGGCGCGGCCTGCGCCGAAGACCTCGTCCAGCGCCACCGTGGCCTGGCCCAGGAACTTGTCGACGCCGATGAGCGAGCGGTGCATGGTGGTGAGCACCAGCTCGCAGGCGGCCGAGCCCGCGGCCCAGGGCGCCGGGCCGGCCTCGGCCTCCTGCGCCCGCAGCAGGCCGTCCAGGGCGCCGGGCGGCAGCTCGAAGGAGCACTCCTCGCGCCACTCGGGGCAGCCCGGGGTCTTCTCCACCACCGACGTGCTGTACTTCTCGCGGCCCACCTGGATCACCGTGTACGCGTCGCTGGTGCTGCCCACGCCCGAGCTCTTGCCCCGCAGCCCGCGGGCCCGCAGCACGGTCACCTGGACGTGCGTGGGGAGCCAGCGGGAGGGCCCCGCCGCCGGCTCGGCGCCCCGCACCAGGGCCATGGCAGCGGACGCGGCGGCGGGCGAGGCCGGCCCCACCCGGCGGAACCACCGGGACCGAGTGACAGATTGGGCAGCGGCGGGGGCTGTCAGGAGCCGGCTCGGAGGACCGCCGCCGCCCGCTCTCCCGGCCGCCGCAGCTGCGGGATGGGCTGAGCCCAAACGGCCGCCGCCTCCCGCCGCCCCACCTCCCCGGCCGCCCGCCCGCCGGCCGCGCCGCGACGTCAGCGCCCGCTGTCAGCGCCCCGCCCCTCGCCCCGCCCCGCGGCTCTGGGCCAGCCCCGCGCGGCGGTGCGGCAGCGCTGCGGAGGCGCCGACCCCGAGCCCGCGCCCGCGCCCGCGCTTAGGCCGCCGCAGACCCGCGCGCGCGGAGCTGGAGGGGCCGCGGGGCGCGCGGCCTCCGCAGAGAGGTGGGCGTGGCTCCTGCAGGCCCCGCCCCCGACTCGGGGCGCCAGCTCAACCCCGCCTGCTAGGGGCCAGCGCGGCACCCTCGGCCGGTTCTGAAAGGCCCGCTTCGCGCCTCCCGGCCAATCCCGAATCTTCCCTCGGTAGGTCCTTGCTGTCGCCGCAAAATGCCCCGGCCCGGCGCGCCCCTCTGGGGAGGACCAACCCCTCGGCGCAGGATCGTGGCGGTGAGGCCAGACCCGGCTGCCCTCCTCATCTTGAGCCGCGCTCCCCCTTCCCTTTGCCCGGGAAGACCCCCGGCTGGAACTAGAAGCGATTCCCTCTTCGCCACGGGACGGTCCCCGCGTCGGCGACCGGGAAGCAGCTGAGCTGCCGCTGCCTCCAGCCTCCACGCGGGAGGGGACCGTGGCTGCGGCGCGAAGGGCCAGAGAGCTGGGCTCGCCCTCAGCGGACACTGCCGCGGAGAGCAGAGTGATGAATAAATGAGTAGCCACATCAATATTTAAGTGTTCGCTCCGAGCGCTGGAGCGCAGCCGTCACGAGCTGGGGGAGATCATAGGCTCTGGTGGAGGGGTTAAACGGTTACTTTCACCCCGTAAGCGCCTACTATGTGCAAAGCCCTACTTTCCCGCGTGGCTTATTATTAATAGTGATAACAATTGTTAATAATTACAGATGCTGAATTCTAGCCAGTATTAGTGTGTGCTCTTTATATGCATTACCTCATTTTGGAGTAACCCTGGTGGGTAAATATAATTTTTATCCCTGTTTTTTCCAGAAGATAAAATTGCAATTTAGAGAGGTTATGCTGCCCAAGATCCTTAACTGGCTGAGGAAGGATTTGAATTCACAGAGATGACCCCAAAGCCTGAACTTTTTTTTACTTTCAGAGCCTGTACTTTAAAAAAAAAAAAAATGTGACACACAGAACCTAGAGACAGAACCTAGTGAGAGAACCTGGTGAGAGAACCTGGCTGAAGAACCTAGAGACAGAACCTGGCTACAGAACCTGGATAGAACCTGGTGACTGAACCTGGCTGGAGAACCTAGCGAGGGAACATGGCTACAGAACCTGGCTGGAGAACCTGGAGAACCTAGCAAGAGAACATGGATACAGAACCTGGCTGGAGATCCTAACCAGAACTTCGCTGGAGATCCTGACCAGAACTTGGCTAGAGATCCTGGCTAGGCTGCTGATCAACTGAACGTTGTCTCCATGTCATTCCTTCTTCGCCGACTCCGTCCACACCTTTGGGGACCCCTGGACCTGCTGGGGTTGGACCCCAACAGGGCGCATTTTGTGCTTTTAATAAAAGTTGCCAGTTGAATATTTTAAAAAAAAATGTAATGCAACACACACATATACAAGTTTTTAAAAATCAAATAGGACAGAAGTGCTTATGATGAAAGCAAAAACGCCCTCTCCACCCCTGGAATCAGGGATAGCACTTACAGCCATTTGTGCGTAGGTCTTGTGGTTACCTCCATATTTTTATATAAAATGCTTACATAGCTATATTTAGATTGATCAGGACTGGCCATTACTGTCTTCTTTCTATGATGGATAACGATTTAATGCTCTCACACTCACTTCCCTTTCTCAGTCTTATATAGTTAAGCTATTGTTTTCAGTTCCTCTATGGAATGCCTTTTTCCTGGGAACCTTTATTTCTTCTCGGGGAGACTCTCCACCGTACTGCTTGACTTGCTATGCTGTGAGCGGAAGATGCCAAAATCCCCACTCTGCAGGCCATGTCTTCCACCAGGAATATAGTTGTAGGCAACCAGTACAGGAGACCTATGGGAGCACAGCCGCCACAAGCCCAATCCTGGCAACCTCCCACCTTAACTCTATGATCATGTGACTGGGGTAGAGGAGTCCTTGGCACTGAGCCCCACTCCAGAATCCCTGTGCACAGCACCTCGCTTTGGAGATAGTCAGATCTGCCTATGGATCTTGGCTCTCTGCCACTTAGCAGCAATGAGACCTGAAGTTTGAGCCAGCTCTCTTGCCTCTCTTGGCCTCATGTCCTCATCAAGAAAATGGGGACAATGATTCCTACTTCAAACATGAGAAAATGTGGTCAAAGGTTGTAATGCAGTGGAGACTGTCACGAATGATCTGCAGGCACCTGCACAACATATACAGCCTTTTTTCCTGATTCTAAAAGTAACTTGGAAAATACAGAAAATATACAGAAGAAAATCAAAATAAATCATAACTGCACTATCCAGAAATAAAAACTGCTAAAAAACTTATTGTATTTCTTTCCAGTCTTTTCTCTACACTATATGTTGTTGTTTTTTTATATATTTTACTAGAGGCCTGGTGCATGAAATTCATGCATGGGTAGGGTCCCTAGGCCTGCCCAGCAGTCAGGGCCGATTGGGGCCTTCCAACTGCTGACTGGGGCCTCCCTTTCCCAGCTGCCGGCTACCAGCTGGGGACTTTCTTCATTCCATGCCACCCCCTGGTGATCAGCACATGTCATAGCAAGTAATCGGTCTCCTGGTCAAACTCCTGTGGGGACAATTTGCATATTAGGCTTTTATATATATAGACTAATGGCCCGTTGCACAAAGATTTGCACAACAGGCCTTCATTCCCCTGAATGCCGGCACCGGTTTTCCTCCGGCACCCAGGACCCAGGCCTTTGATCTGGCCGCAGCAGCAAGGCTTGGCTTCTCTGCTCCAGCTGCTCCCAGCCCCTCCTTTTTTTTCTTTTCCAGCTCCTGTGAGGCAACTGTAGTATAATGGCTAAACCTGTGGGCTTTGGCATCCTGGTTCTACCATTTATATGTATTATCTCATTTACCCCAAGAGACAACCCTTTAAGGCAGGTGGGATTGCTACCCTCAGTTTCACTGATGAGAAAACTAAAGCAGAGAGAGGTTGAGTAATTTTCCCCAAGTTTCCAACTGGAAAATTGCAGAGCCTGGACTTGAACTCAGTTCAAGTGATTCTACTGCCTGTGGCAATTTGCCCCCATACTAGGCTGTTGGTCATCTGAGCCCTATATCCATTGGAAGCTAAGCATGAAGTATTTTCATACCCATTTTACAGATAAAGATATTGAGGTATAAAAAAAATAGGGAAAAGAAAGTCATCACCAAAAAAAAAAGATATTGAGGTATAAAAAGGGGTTAAACAGACTTACTTGAGGTCAGAGTCAGGATGAAACCCCCCCACTTTAAGAATAGATTTCCCGCCCTGGCCAGTGTTGCTCAGTGATTAGAGCATAGGCTTGCGCATTGGAGGGTCAAGGTTTCAATTCCATGTCAAGGGCACTTACCTGGGTTGCAGGTCTGATCCCCACCGCTGGTTGGGGAGCATGTAGGAGGCAACCAATCGATGTGTCTCTGTCACATGGATGTTTCTCTCTCTTTCTCTGCCTCCCCCCACCTTCTTCCCCTCCCCTTTTCCTTCCACTCTCTTGAATCAATGGAAAAAAATATCCTCACTCCTCAAATGAGGATTAAAAAAAAAATTAAAAGGAGTGGATTCCCCAAGGGCTTTGTAAATGAAGATATCTTTGCCAAACTACAACTAAAATATATTTGTCACTCTCTGTTTCATCTGTTTCCTAGCTCTCCAAACTGCCTGGACTGCCTTCTCCCGCCTGCCTCCCTCCTCATCTCATGGAGTAACAAGGCTCTAGGAAAGAGCAAAGAGAACTCAGATGGGCTCCTCCAGCTCTCCCTCCTCCTGCCTGGCCCACGCAGTTCGGCAAGCTCGGGCTTCCTGCTGGCCCGGATTGGGGCTGTGGGAGGGCACTGAAGTCAGGCAGGGCTACCCTGCTGGCCACTTGGCCCAGGAAGGAAGGGCGGGGCCTGCTAGCTGTCTTCAGGGGGAAAATGAGCAGAAACTACCAAGACACTGACTTGGCCACCTAGAGGTGTGTCTCCCTCTCTAGAAGATGAGACCACCAACCCCCTCCACGCAGACACCCCGCTGCCGGGAGGGTTAGAGGACCCCCTGGGCGTGCTCATGCCTTCCTGGTTGTCTCCAATATTCAGACCTTCTAAACTTAAACTTTTTATTTCTCTATCTATTTATTTATTTATTTTAATATATTTTATTGATTTTTTACAGAGAGGAAGGGAAAGGGACAGAGAGCTAGAAACATCGATGAGAGAGAAACATCAATCAGCTGCCTCCTGCACACCCCCAACTGGGGATGTGCCCGCCACCAAGGCACACGCCCCTGACCGGAACCGAACCTGGGACCCTCGAGTCCATAGGCCGACGCTCTATCCACTGAGCCAAACCAATCAGGGCTATTTATTTATTTATTTTAAAAACTAGAGGCCAGCCGAAACTGGTTTGGCTCAGTGGATAGAGCGTCAGCCTGTGGACTGAGAGGTCCCTGGTTCGATTCCGGTCAAGGGCATGTACTGGGTTGCGGGCACAGGATGTGCAAGAGGCAGCTGATCGATGTTTCTCTCTCATCGATGTTTCTAACTCTCTCTATCTCTCTCCCTTCCTCTCTGTGAAAAATCAATAAAATATATTTTTTAAAAAAATAAATAAATAAATAAAAATAAAAAAAATAAAATAAAAACTAGAGGCCCGGTGCACAAAAATTTGTGCACTCGGGGGGGAGGGGGGGGTCCCTCAGCCCGGCCTGTGCCCTCTCGAAATCTGGGACCCCTCGGGAGATAACGACCTGCTGGCTTAGGCCTGCTCCCGGGTGGCAGAGGGCAGGCCCAATCCCTAGGTGCAGCCCCTGGTCAGGCTCAGAGCAGGGCCGATTGGGGAGTTGGGGCGCCGTCCCGTCGTGCACAGAGCAGGGCCGATTGTGAGGT